TCAGACACGCTCTTTTCCTACGGCCATGGAAATGGAAAGGTGTGATGGCACAGTGTCCATTTCCTCTGGATGTACGAGGTGAAAGCCACAGGGTTCAAGCCCGTGAGGAGGTCTTGAGCTGATGTGAGCTTCAGTTGACAAGGCTGCTTGGTCTCCGCACACAGGTTAAGCTCTCAGGCTGGCACAGCGGAGGAAAGGAAAGTTTGGAGACCACCAGGGACTGTAAGCTAGTTCCCAGCATTGCATCTAAATATAAATCTTAGGCACAGTTTTGATGCTTTTAGGAAGTCTTGCAAAGTGGAGCCAAGGACTGTCAGCCTGGAATGGCTTCAGACAGACAAGGACATGTGTCCAAGGAGAGTGTGGGGCTGAGCAGAAAAGGTCTCATTGCCAGCACCGTGCAGATGGGTTCAGGCCTTCCCTCTCAGTGATCATTCCCTTTAGCGATCTGTGTAAAAGTCAGTAAAAGGCCACTGCGGTGCTCTGGCACAGCTTTAAAAAGACAGAAATCTCTGAAGCCTCTGCCAGAACTGCCACACACCAGCCTTTTATTTCTAAATTAAGAGCTGTAGCGTTTTTTTTTTAATTTAATAGTCTGGACATTTGCACCTTAATTTGAATAATTAGTCTTCCGTTCCTATATGGAATTAATCATTATTTGCTCGTGAACTATTTTCATGCAGTTCAGCAGTTCTGTGCAGGTGAACATGTTAGTGTATTCCTGTTTATGGGTAATGCATACTCTTTGCTCTGGGAGGGTTAATGGTCGTCTTTTAGTTTTGTTTTTTTTCTTTCTTAAAAGGTTCGGTATAATTGAGTGTTTGAAATAATGGGGTAGACTGGAAGCGACTACAGGCTGTACTTGAGTGAAATCAGGAAGGAGGATTCAAGGAGCAGAGCCTAGCATGCTGCCCATTAATCCCTGGATTTAATCTTCTAGATGGCATTTTCATTTTAGTCCTCTTACTTTCTTCTTTTTGTGTATTATTATTCAAGGGTAATAGATTACCATAAATATAAAGAACCTGGTCTAAAGTGAACTGCACTTATGTCTCCATGCACAGGTCTGAATTTGCGATGCAATGCTGAAGGCAGTCTTTGAGTATTTTTCTGAGTTTTGTGCTCAGGTGTAGTATATTCCAGGCAGTGGCCTTATCAGCTCCTTTTGACCCACAGTGCAAAAAAACGTAATGTTCTGTAAATTAAATCAGTTTAGACTTCCAGAGAATCACATGTACTAGAAAAGATCTTGTTTATAACAGAAATCTTTGTATTGAGCTACTTCTTCTGAATGGGCTGTGGCATTCTCAGAATAACAATATTTAAGAGACACGTCGTAGTTTTAAATATAGTTTTATACACATCTATAGAATGTCACAGCTTTCATATCAAAGGCCATAGCTGTTCTGTGCCAGGAGCTGGGAGTTAGGAGCAGTTTCTCTCTTTGGTTGTAATGCTGACACTTTTCTCTATCCCAGATAATGTGGGAAAAATGTAAATTGACAAAAAGAGGGTAAGGATTTAAAATGAACAGTGTAGAATTTAAATCAAGGGATGTTATGTTAAAAATGTACAATTCACTAGCAAGACCTCGCTTAGAATATTGTGTACAATTCTGGTGACTATATTACAAAAGGATATTGCTGTTTGGGAGACCTGGGATCAAAGGAATTTTCTACACTTATAGGCTAAAAGAACTTGAAGCTCTTTATTCTTGAACAAAGAAGGCCATGATCGGACCTGATTCAAGTATTCAAAGTATTCAGCATCTTCAAAGGAATTGACAAAGTCAAACCCAGTGGACGTCTTTAGAATGAACAGTGAACCACACACCAGAGTGCACATAGAGAAACTAAGGAAAAGTGCATTATAATGGAGAAGAAGATTCACATCTTTTCACAAAGGCATTGTGGGAGTCTTGAACAAGCTCCCCAGCAAATCACTTGCCCTTGTGGGTAACCTTTCTCATGGCATTTTCTGTTTCTGTGAACTTCAGAATAAATATTCCCGTTCTTTCTTTGGGCTGCTTTGATTTCAGAATCGCTGTTCGGTGTTTGTTTCTTTTTTTAATTAAACAATTATTTTCATTTTTAGCATGACCTGGTTCTATTTTTCCATTTAAAAAATGCCACTTGTGGTCACTATTCATCTGTTCTCTGTACCTCATGGCCAGGACTTTGCAGGAATGCCCTCCTCAGCGACTGAAAGAATAGGGAGAGACCTATGAAATCATACAGCATTTAAATTGAAGTCTTAACAAGTAGGTTTATGGTTACATAAAGCTGACCTCACCTCTCACCTTAAGAATGAAACAGAATCAGATATGCGCTGCAGGACGTGTGATCTGCCAAGCTATTTGCAATTCTAGGGATTACTTTATAGGATTTCTCCAATACTGCAACAACCCCTAAACTGGCTCCTGAGCTTTATTCCTTTGGGGCCTGAAGTGTGAGACACAGCACATGAAATTTCTTGTAAGACGAGGGGTTAAGGGTTGAAACGCATTAAAAAGTCAATGGAATGGGAGTTCTGAATTGCCTGTTGCAATATTTATGTCTTGGAGGATTTCTCTCAGACAACTCAAAGGGAACAACGGAAGACTAGTCTCTTCTTCCCTTTCCCACCCCCTCACCCCCTTTCACGACGACACATTAGGAGTGCCGGGACACTATAGGAATCGGGAGCAAGCGCCCTAATGAACACGTTTTCATGTGTTCGCTGTGATGCGCTGCAGAAGAGATGCTCACATGAGGCACCAGCTCCTCATTAGCTCAGCACGCATACTACATCAGCCGTAGTGTCGGAGGAACAGCGTTCCCCTGCATGCCTGTTGGCTGGGGTAATTCATCACAATGGCACACAAGTGCTTATAGGAAATATACATGTAAATACTGCATTAAGGAACGATGACTGTGAAACGCGCCAGCATCTTCACCCATATTATTACATCCTGAAAGAGAGGCAGAGCTGACGCATTACACAATGAACGCGAATGCAGCTCTCTAAGAGGGGAGGGAATATTATTCATAGGCAAAGGCTCACTCGCCGCGGTTTTTCGTTCCAGCATGGCTAGCCACTCAGGCTGTATGAAATCGATTGCGGGCAAGACTGCTTTTCTTTATTCCCTGGGACTGTTTGAACTTTAAAGGCAGCAAAAAGTGACGCCCTCTCTGAAGGCGCCCAGCCTCCTGGTGTTCTCTGGAGGAGCACTGGAGAAAATTGAGAGTCTGTGCCACAGCGGTGTCGGTTCCGCTCCGGAGCAAGAACACGGTTCCTGTCTTGACCGTGTGAAACACACGAGCATGATCTCGAACCCAGCCGAGTTATACCTGGCCTTGGGTTAAGCGTTAAAGGAATTATTTCAAATTTACTGTAGTTACCCTTCTTGTTAATTTTGGTGTCTTTGTTTAGTTCACTTCTACTGTAAAAGGATATCATTGTCTTAGCTCTTTGTTGCGTTGGTAAAAATATTTAATTCCAATAAAACCGGAGCTGAGTTTTTGGTTACGTCTAAACCTCGCAGCATACTAGCGCGCTCTCCACATATGTTAGGTTAATACCTGATGCATATGTACTGTATACTGTATATACATCTGTTGAGGCATCACCCATTCTGTTGAGTGAAAACTTGAAAGTGTCATCAGTTTCTGAATTTTATTTTTACTTTTGCTTCTAAAGAGAAACATGATGCCCCCCCCCACACACACACACATTCCATTTCAGAAGTGGGACTCTTGCAACACCAAAGTTTTTCAAAGTGTAGGGGAGCAATCTGTGAATACCTTTCGGTATTTGAACTCGGGGACTCTGTGGGGTTTGACAGAGCCCAGAGAGAGAGAGGCCTTTAAGGAGAAGCACACACCAGCAGGGGGTCCAAAGACTCTTCCCTTCAAAGATACACAACGCAATAAAAAAACAAAGCCTTGGGATAAATATAAGTAAAACAAGACCCATTTATACAGTAGTTCAAGAACTGAGGTTATGCAAAAGGCTCCTCTCCAACAGAACAGCATTGACAAACAATGAAGCCGAGTCTCATTCAAGGCTGTCTGACCCTACCACACCTTTCAAAACAACCTTTCCTACTGCAGTGCCCCTAATGAATGTAACAGTGTCCGCAGGCCGCCTTTAATTTGGGAGACATTGTTTAAGGCACCCGGTTAGGGTGTTATAGGCAGCCACACGTGGATAAAAAGGGAAAAGAAATTGAAAGCAGCAGTAATAGGAAACTGGCAAGACACTGTATGTGAAAAAGTGCCGATGACTCTTACATGGCGCCAGTGTCAAAGAAGGACTGGACTACAATACATTGTTTTTATCGAGGAGACAGATTTTTTAAAAGATAAGTATGTGTTGTCCAGTTACCTGACCCAGTTGGGCGAGCTACCCAGTTTATCTAAATCCTTCACGTTTCACGTTGCAGTTACAGGGTTATGATCTTTCTACTCTACATCAAGAGGTGGCGAATTCAACAAGTGTAATTTACATGTTGAACCATGATTTTCGGCAGTTAAAAGCAGAAGAGTAGGGTAATATGAAGTTAGTACGTGGGTGATTATTTTATTGATAATAGAACGATGCTTTACTATTGTGCAAAAATTGACAAACTGTGTCTTTAATAAAAGTGCAATAGCAGGCTGAACATTCTGCCATCCCTGTCAGTAAATGCTTAGTGGTAGAGCTAAGAATGGCTGAATTTAATGAAATAATGCTCTAAATGTTATCTTAGCATTTATATTTAGTGGGAAAGCCCCCCCAGGACATCGCTCTAGAATGTGATTTTGTCAGTTCCAGTCAATAAATGTCAAAGTTTAAACGGGTACAGTCTAGGTTTCTGCAGTAAGTAAAGACATTGGAAAGCAACAAATTATAGGAAAAAAAGTAAGTGTAAGAGCTCAGATCTCCTGTCTGTAAAGGCCGTTTCTGATGGCCCCTAGCGCGGTCTTCCAACAGTTTGATTGGATGCGGCAGTGGGATTTCTTTCTCTTTGATCTCTCCAGCCTCTGAAAATGCACTGCGACAGCTGTGCCCTGGTTACCAGCTCTGGGCACCTCATTGGCAGTGGCCGTGGGGAAGAGATCGACCAGACGGAGTGCGTCATTCGCATGAATGATGCCCCCACAAGGAGCTACAGGAAGGACGTGGGCCAGAAGACCAGCCTGAGGGTCATCGCCCACTCCAGCATGCAGCGCATCCTGCGGAACCACAACGAGCTCCTCAACACGAGCCAGGACACGGTCTTCATCTTCTGGGGCCCCAGCAACTACATGAGGAGGGACGGGAAAGGGCTGGTCTACAACAACCTGCGCGTGATGAACCAGGTGCTGCCCAGGCTCAAGGTGTACATCATATCCAGGCAGAAGATGCAGCAGTTTGATGAGCTCTTCAAAAGAGAAACGGGGAAAGACAGGTAGGTGGGCCTCCTGTGATCCGCACCGTTTATAGCTTTCAACACAGGGGTGGGCAGTCCTGTTCCTAGGGGTCCACTGTGGCTGCAGGTTGTCTTTCCAGGCTCAGCTCTTAACAAGCTAAAGAGACTCATCACTGACTTAATGGGACCAATTTAACAGCTTCTCCCAACTCTTCAGGTGCCGATGATTTAAAGAGAACAAGAAAACAAATTAGGTCAACCTCATTGACTTTAATCAGTCAGATCTTAGACCAGACCTCTGGCTGTATGTGAGCTTAAACTGAATGATGGATGGCAGGACCCAGCAGAACTGCTGCTTCCCATCGAGGCAGCAACTAGTCACAGCTTAAGTCTCCCGGGCAAAGCATAGCTGACACCCTGTCACGTGTGGTTTAGGAGAGCAGCTCACACTCGAGAGCAACAACTGGAAATGTTCGAAAATCTCTGGTATTAATAACAATAACAACAACATCACTTTATTAACCCTTTACAATTTTTTTGCATTAGGATTAGGAATGGTCTTTTCACATACCCCAGCTTGCTCTCCATGAGACACACAGACAGGGAGAGAAGCTGGGGGTCAGAGCGCAGGGTCTGCCATTGTACGGCACCCCTGGAGCAGTTGGGGTTCAGGGCCTTGCTCAGGAGCCCAAAGGAGAAGGATTCCTCTGCCGGCTGCGGGATTTGAACCGGCAACCTTCCAGCCACAGGCGCAGATCCTGAGCCACAGAGCCACCGCTCTGCCCCAAGCATGCTATTATCAGCATGCTGTGTTCTCCAAGACTGTCAATCACAAGAGGCGTGATGGTTCTAGGGTTAATTGGAGCACCTTATTATGGCTTATTATGATGTGGTTTGACTGAAACACAAAGTGCTGGTCTTACCAGGAGTGTCATTAACACAGAAAAGTGAGGCTCTTGTGGAAGAAGGAATGTGATCGATAGAAAATGATCTATTCTGCTTTAGAGTCAGTTTGCAACCTGTGGCCCTGGTGCCATTGTTAGAATTGGATCTAAGAAGCTGGTTGCCTCAACTAAGAAGCTCGAGCTTGGTTGCAAATACATTTTCCAGCAGGGTAACAGCCTAAGGCACACCACCGTATCTCCTGCCAAAGGGTTAAGAGGGAACAGATTCATTCTTGAACTTATAAGGAGCAATTGTAGAAACATAAACCATGTAACCTGAAGGGGCTGGACAGGTTCTGCATAGAGGAATGATCAGAAATCCCTACGAGAAGTGCAGGAGCTTATTAAACAACTACAGTAAGCTCTGTCTCTATGTCACCAAAGCCAAAGGATGATCAAGGAAATATTGCTGGGGTGTGAATACATTTGAAGATCGTCCATATAGGAAAATCTGCAGTTATGTTTGACATCTATGGTTTTGCAATATCCTGTGCATGTCAGTCTGACATGTAAAACATTTTTTTGTGGTTTAATTTTTAAATAAATGCAGCATGTACAGCTGAGGAAAGCTTCCAGATACATTGTTACAAGGACATGAAGATAATTGGTATTTCCAAACATGCCGGATATTAATATATTTATTACTGACAGAGGTTAGGGGTTTATTACACTACTACAGAATGGAAACACTAAAGACTGAGGTGTCTTAGATTTAGATTAGGTTAGAAATTATGTTACTGACTTACTGTAACATGGCCCTGTGAGATTCAAAACCCTAGGTCTGGTTTCAGAAAACAACCATTTTCGAAAATCTTTCAAGTTTGTCAAAAAAATCCAAGATGGCGGCCAAACCATGTGACCTACCTGCATAAACGTCACTTCACGACTTTTCACGGGGTCTTTCAGTCCTCCCTGAGCCCATGAGCTTTCACCCAGGAAACTGGATTTCATCTGCAAGAGTGGCTGGAGAAAAACAACTGTAACCCAGACAATAACAAACTGATCACCTTACTACCGGCGTAAGAAAATTAATGTATTTGTGAAAAGTTTAAAGAGGGAGCAGGTTTTTTTTAACTCTTTTCGCTCTCTAGGGCTTTGTGCTCGGTAACTCCAAGCCAGTTAAATGATACATTTGAAATGGCTACACGCTGGCTTTTTCAGGTGGCTGTATCCCAGCAATGAAACACTGCAGTGACAACGAGCTGCCCCTGCTTATCATGGTATGTGGGGGGTTCTTATCTTCCAATGTGATATTTCCATATGGACATGAAATCGTGGTATTAGTATTTTCAAGCATTTAATTAACAGCTTATAATCAGGTGGGAGCTCATAGCAGTAATGTATTAGCATTCAGTTCACAGTTTTTATCTTTGCAAAATCTGCTTCTGGCCCAATGTGTCTAGATTTTAAAGAAAGGTTTGGGCAATGCAGTTTCCACATGAAACAATGGCAAATAATATGCAACAACATCATGAATTTGCAGCCTCCCCCCACATCTTTATCACCAATGGCTAGTGTATAGTGCCGCCCACAGGAGCAGGACGAGGGTACTGCAAGTAATTGGTGGCATCTGGTAAGAAAAAGCGGAAACATGACATTGCTAATCAAAAGATCAACGTCCACACAGAGGGGAAGGAAAATCATTATTGTTAAAGCCATTGTGTTGATGTATTGATAGTGGCAGGCCCTTTGGCAAATGATACCAGATCTCTCATACCTGCAGGCTATGCAGGAGTGCAAAGCCTTCTTTGTCAAAATTGATTTTGCCGGTACACTGGAAAACCAGTTCGCATTCTCTTTGTTACACCAGGTGCAGAGTGAACTCCCGCCCTCCCCCCATTCTCTGTGGATATTCAGTGGGTATTCAACACCCCCCAGCATTAGACGACCGCTGCCTCCATTAGTGCAGAGTGAAGCTGCACCCAAACACTTTGTAGGACAGCAAATGTTCAACATATCAACATAACAAAAGACATTTCTATTCATCTTATTCATGACCTTTAACCAGAAAAAGAAGATCCATTCAGATAGCCAGCATCAAAGAAATATGGCCCCTCTGAGATTTATGTCCCTTCCTCTTTGACACGTCGCTCAAAATGAGCGTTGTCTTTTATTCCCAATTTCTATAATATACAGTAGAGATTTTTGCTGTACAGTCAATCAACTTACATTGTGATCATGAGATGAATGTGAATGATTAGTGCAAAGTGATATACCCAAAGTGAATGTCTGCATTATGAGACGTTCACTTCAAGTACATTTCAGAGTTTTAAAGTCGGTATTTGGTTGTGTGTCCTTTCGAGGCAATAGCTGCATGTTCCATAATTCTGCCAAATAATAATGAAGTTGGAGAAGGAGTGTGATTTGTGTAGTGAGCTTCACTGGGGTAACCCACCCAGCTAAGGAGAAAGAGGCCCCTCATTTGAATAAAGAATGAGCCAGGGAGCTGCTTCAGGGGTGCAGATGAGGTGGAGGGAGAGATGTACAGTAAGAACAGAAAGCACAAGCAAGCCAGCAAAAAGCAAGATGCTCATACAGAGGCAGGATGAAGAGGGTGAGATTAGGGTTTGACCTCTGAACGTTGAGCTAAACAAACCCTTTGTTTGATCATTTGAGATGCTTTGCCAAGCCTGTGCTGCAGCCACTGAATACTTGCCAGAGAGGGAACAATCTTTTAACTCTGTTCTCCGTCTAGTGCTTTGTGCTCAACAAACTCCAATCCAGTTCAATTATACATTTGGTTAGTGTTCTGCCTTAAACATTTTTATGTACTGTAGCATGTAAAATGCATACTAAATATATTTTTAAATCTGGAAATTGACTTGGCCAGTCTAAGAGTTTTCTCCTGATGAACTCCTTTGCTGCATTTGCTATAGGTTTTATATTGTTGTCATGCTGCATGGCGAAGCACTGGTCTGGAAGGATTTTCTTCTATATAAGCAGGCAAAATGTCAGTCATAAAGTTCCTTTCCTTCTCCAGACTTTTGCCTTTCTGTCATTTTGGTAGCTGTTTTGTCTTGGTCTCTTTTGTGTTCCAAAACCCCCCTTTGGAGCAAATGGTAATCTGGCTTCTCTGTTTGTGGTGCTGATGAGAGGCCTGCATTTTTCAGTGCAGCCTTTGTAATTCTGCTGTCTGTGAATTGTGGGTTTTGATACTCTCACACTGCAGACTGTGGGGGATTTTACCCCTAATCTTTTCAGATTCTTTTTCGATTGCTCATGATGAATAATTTCCTGCCACCAGCTGTAGATAGTTTTCTCCCTATGTCTTGGACTCTTTCTTCTTCATTATACAGTTATATACCTATCCTGCACGGAGGTCACATTCCTTCAAATGGCATCTTAGGCAAATCTGCACTGGAGAAACGTACTGGAACACTTTATGTAATAAATAGGGATATGTGAACATGGCTGTGTAAACTCACCTAATAGTACCTTCGTACATGTATACTGCATATCATTACAATGAATGGCCCTATGTACACTGAACTGTGTATGAAATTCAAATACAATAAAAGAAGTATATTACCCTACTTTGGAATGGTTATGATGACGGGAATCGATGATGCTGATGCATTGAAAGCTGAGGTCTTAATTGTTTTCCGCCAGTGTTATCTTCATCTTATTATTAACCGTTAACCTTATGAGTTTTCTTCTTTGTTCAAACTCCTTCAGCTGCCTTGCAAAGCTAAGGTACAAAGAAGGCAGTCTCGTCTTCACTCAAGTTCTCTTAGTGGCAGCACGCTGAGGAAAGGTGTTTTGGATTTTGGCAGACCACATGTAACTGCACAGTAGACTGAGAATTCATCCCATTGAGTTTTGTTGTGTTTGACCAAATCTGCATTGGCATCAAACCCACGCTGGAGGGTCTACTATATTCATTGTTCTTCACCTTGTGATGTCCAATTCTTGTGCCGATTGGGTTTTTCTTTTCCTTCAGCCCAAAACTTGCTTGCTTGTCTTTAAAAGGCAGTTTTTGGGGTTTTTGGTGCTTCCTGACAGCAGGCTCCAAAGCGAGACAGACTGACAGGTTGTTTACCGTTCACAGCAAACACCCGACCAACAGGTCAGGTCAGGCTGTGTCAGCCCATTGCC